AAAAGAAAAGAAGAAGAAGTTAAAAAAAGTTAAAAAAACACCTTTGGTTCTCTTCTGGTTCAGTGGAATTCAAAGGATTCTCGTCATTCAACCAATTTTTATGCTGCTCAAGGCTCCAGCAGCCAAGCTATATTCTGCTGAGTGAGAATGTAGTGTGTGCTGCTATTGCATTTTAGGAATTCAGTCAGTTGGATGTGTTTCTGAGTTGCCAATACATCCATACTGTTGTTGCTTTCTTGAAAAAAAAAAAAAAAAAGACTGAAAAAAGTTAACAAATTTAAAATTTTGGACGTAGAGAACAGCACGTGTGAATTCGACTGGCCTAGCTCAGTTGGTACAATCACAAGTGTTGAAATATGTACCTGAACTCAAATTCAGTTCGAATTCCAATGGAATCAGATGAGTGAAAATAATGAGTGAAAAGTTGAAAACGACTCTGACTTTACGCGGAGGCGGTCAGTTTCCAAAGATGATATCTCAAGGTCGTCGCACTTTTTTTAACTTTTAAAATTTAAAGGAAAAAAACGAAAGGAAGGAAGGAAGAAAGAAAGAAAGGGAAAAATGCTTTCCAGCAGGTGTTGCTCCCCACCACGAGAAGGGAACCGTCCACCACAGGGATGTACTACTGGAGGGGGGCTCTTATCACCTCCTACAGTAGCCCTGCCGGATGTTAAGGATGTGGTGTGTGTGTGTGTGTGGGTGTGTGTGTGTGGGGGGGGGAGAGATTGGAAGAGAGAAAGAAAGAAAGGAATAAGTTCCGGAAAACACTATGCGTGCAATATTTTTATCCTGGTCATTTTGGTTGCAGCTGGACTTGAACTCAGGTCTGTATTTCAACAGGTAACTGGAGAACCATCTGAGCTAGGCCTGTTGGTTGTGTGCCAGGCACTGCCAGCATTCATTGAATTTCATTCCCTTCTTTGTTGTTCTCCCCTTTTAGTTATGCGTGTCATCGTTGCGCAGGGCCATGCTAATCTTGTCTGTATCGTTCCAATTTTTACGGATGTCCCAAAGGAGAAAGGACAGATTCCAAATTGTCTCGTTCTGGTTTATGATGGTTTCTTGTGAATTCTTGATATTTCCTTTTCATGTGTCTGTCTGTCTGCCTGTCTGTCTGTCTGTCTGTCCATCTGTAGGGAGCGGTTTGCTTTCCGCAGGGGCAATGGCAAAATTGTACATGCAAAACAGCAACCTTCTTTGGACACTTGCTAGTTCTGAAAGAGATGAGCAAGAAGAACCAAATAAAGAAAGAAATACAAACAGGAAATTAAATAACGCCACCGAGAGATCATGATGAACCATGCATCTGCCAACAAGGGCCAGCAAGGTCTGCAAGGGCATCAACCACTTGTACGACTCAGAGTGAGACACATTCAGGCCCCAATGTCAATGCCACAATGACGCTCTTCCGTTTTTTGAACTTCTTTCCCTTTTTTCCTCGTCTTGGGCAGGGGCCTTGCTAATCTTCTCTGTATTGTTCCAATGTTAACCGATGTACCGAAGGACAACGACGCTCTTTCTATACTGAGCCAAAAGAAGAAGCTTTACCATCAGACACTAAAGCTACCCATTTTAAAAGAGGAAAAAGAGAGGCAAAACAAAAAAAGGGAAAAAAAAAAACTTCTTATGGTGATAAAAACTGCCGTGATCCTGGGGGTGATATCAACGGCCAGGATCTCGATGTTATCCAAGGCCAGGATCCCAATGCTACCAATGGGCAGGACACTTACTCAGACCATCGCAGTGTGAATGCAGGACTCGCACAAAATAGGTATGCACTGCTTGCCTTCCTTTGGAAGCCATTTGAAGTTGGAAACTGAACCCGCACTGGTCCCGCAGGGAAATTTGACCTGGTTGGTCCTGGTTTACGACCTACTTGGGACCCTTCGGGACTCAGTGGGACCAGGCCCAAGTTGGAAACTGAACCC